TTATGAATTCGGTCATTAATATGGTTATTACAATAAGTATCAGGATGTATTGTCATACAAGTCCATTCCTTATCCTCTCCATTGCTTATACTCGGGTTTTAAGTAAAATCAATTTTTCACTTTTAAAGAAACGGGTTTTCTAACTTCAAGTCAACTTATCATTTTAAAACAAACATTTAAACCAATGAATACCGTTCTTTAAAGATATAGGACGTTTTGTCTCTCAGTGGATACTTATTATTTGGTTATTAATATCTTTATTATGATATTATCAATATATTGTGACATATTATCATAAAAGATCTCTTGAAAAACAATGTTTTAACTCACTTTTTAAAGTAAAGTCAACTAAACATTTTAAAAGTCAACTAATCGTCTTAAAATCAACGAATCATTTAAAAAGTCAGCCAATCATTTTAAAAGTTAACTAATCATTGTAAAAGTCAACTAATTGTTCTAAAAGTTAGCTAATCGCTTTAAAAGTAAACTAGTCATTGTAAAAGTCAACTAATCATTCTAAAAGTCAGCTAATCGCTTTAAAAGTCGACCAATCCTCTCAAACGTCAACCAATCATTTCAAAAGTCAATTAATTGTTTCAAAAGTCAACCAATCGTTCTAAAATCAATCAATTGCTCTAAAAGTCAACTAGTTGTTCTAAAAGCCAACTAATCGCTTTAAAAGCCAACTCGTTTTAAAATCAGTAAATCATTTAAAAAGTCAGCCAATCATTTTAAAAGTTAACTAATCATTGTAAAAGTCAACTAATTGTTCTAAAAGTTAGCTAATCGCTTTAAAAGTAAACTAGTAATTGTAAAAGTCAACTAATTTTTCTAAAAGTCAGCTAATCGCTTTAAAAGTCGACCAATCCTCTCAAACGTCAACCAATCATTTCAAAAGTCAATTAATTGTTTCAAAAGTCAACCAATCGTTCTAAAATCAATCAATTGCTCTAAAAGTCAACTAGTTGTTCTAAAAGCCAACTAATCGCTTTAAAAGCCAACTCGTTTTAAAATCAGTAAATCATTTAAAAAGTCAGCCAATCATTTTAAGTCAACTAATCGTTGTAAAAAGTCAACTAATTGTTTTAAAAGTCAACTAATCTCTCAAAAAGCCAACTATTCATTTTAAAGGTCAACTACTCGTTTTAAGTCAACAAATCATTTAAAAATTTAACTAATCATTCCAAAAATTCAACCAATTGCTTCAAAAGTAGAAACTGATCACTTTAAAAGATAACTAATCTTTTTAAAAGTCAACTAATTGTTTTAAAAGTCAACTAATCGCTTAAAGCCAACTAATTGTTTTAAAAGTCAACCAATTGTTTTAAGGCAACAAATAGTGTCAAAATTTTACTAATCATTTAAAAAATTCAACCAATCGCTTCAAAAGTAAACTGATCACTTTAAAAGCCAACTAATCATTTTAAAAGTCAACCAATTGTTTTAAAAGCCAACCGATCGTTTTAAGTGAACAAATCGTTATAAAAGTCAACTAATCGTTTTAAAGTCAACCAATCGTTATAAAGTCAACCAATTGCTATAAAAGTCAACTAATCATTATAAAAGTCAACCAATCGTTTTAAAGTAAACCAATTGCTATAAAAGTCAACAAATCGTTATAAAAGTCAACTAATTGTTTTAAGGTCAACCAATTGCTTTAAAAGTCAACCAATTGTTTTAAAAGTCAACTAATCATTTTAAGTCAATTTTTTTTTCCAAAAGTAAGTTAATTGTCCCAAAATTCAACTAATTGATTTAAAGGTCAACTAATCGTTGTAAAAGTCAACTAAACATTTCAAAAGTCCACCAATCATTTTAAAAGTCAACTAATGGCTTAAAAAGTCAACTTATCGTTTTAAAGGTCAACCAATCGTTTTGTCAACAGATCGCTTTAAGTCTACCAGTCACTTTTAAGTTTACTCACTTTTTAAAGTAAAATGAACTAATTACTTTAAAAAATTGTTGACTTATAAAGTAAATAAACTCATTTTTTTACTTTTTTAAAGGTAACCTCAACTGTCAACTGATCGCTTTAAAAACAAATGGTTTACCTTTTTTTTTTCTTTTTTCTTTTTTACTGGGTTGTCGTAAATCACCATTAGGTTAAATATGGACAAACCCAACCATTGGGTTAAATATTTCAGTTAAATTTAAATGACAACTTTCTGGATTTTCGCATGTTCCCCTAGAGAGTCTCTTCTCATGTCTTGTTGTGTCAGACTTGACCTGCTGCCCCGCGGAGAGAGAAAATGCAGCACCAAGCTAGACGGCATGATCATTTAATGAGCGGAGAACAAACTGTGCTGCATTCTGGAGAAAAAATGACACGTTTTTTTTTGTTTGGCAAAAGTAGCATAATCCACAAAGAACAGGCAGTAATATAGACAGAATGACAGCCTCCGGAAACTTGAGGAGCAACTTCACTCCTGAATCCCTGAATTATCCATTAAACCTCATTTTATAATTCATGAACAAGCTGAATTTGACCTGTTTGCCTGTTAAATTGATTCAAAAATGCACATAATAATTCATTTGTGAGTCGGACAGACATCAGTAAACTAGTCAACTATTCATTGATGCAAATGAATTGTTCAGTTTAGATGATTCACTGATTCAAATGATCTGTTCAGAGTGAGTCTCTGAATTGGATGGACATTGGTAACAATTCATTGATTCAAATGAACTGTTCAGAGTAAGTTTTCAGTTGGTGATTCACTGATTCAAATGGTCTGTTCAGAGTAAGTCTCCGTTTAATGATTTAATGAATCTCAAGTAAATGAATCACTACTTCAATTGATTAGGACAGAGTGAGTCTCCAGTTTTCACAGAGTTTCCTGCAAATGATTCATTGATTCAAATTAACTGTTCAGAGTGAGTCTCCAGTAGATGATTTACTGATTCGAATAATCTCTTCAGAGTGAGACTCCAGTAAATAATTCACAGAGTCTCCTGTAAACGATTCACTGATTCAAATGATCTATGTTAATGTCTCAAGTAAACGATTAAACTATTCAGTTGATCAGTTCAGAGTGATCCTTCAGTAAATGATTCACTGAATCAAATTAACTGTTCAGAGTGAGTCTCCGGTTAATGATTTAATGAATCTCAAGTAAATGAATCACTACTTCAGTTGATTAGGACAAATTAAGTCTCCAGTACATGAGTCACATATTCAAATGATTAGGACAGAGTGTGTCTCCAGTAGATGATTCACTGATTCGAACGATCTGTTCAGAGTGAGTCTCCAGTAAATGATTCACATATTCAAATGATTAGGACAGAGTGTGTCTCCAGTAGATGATTCACTGATTCGAACGATCTGTTCAGAGTGAGTCTCCAGTAAATTATTCACTGGTTCAAATGAACTGTTCAGAGTAAGTCTCCGGTTAATGATTCACTGAGTCTCAAGTAAATTATTCACTACTTCAAAAGATCTGTTCAGAGTGAGTCTCCAGTAAATGATTCACTGATTCAAATGATTAGAACAGACTGAATCTCCAGGAGATGATTTACTTATTTGAATGGTCTGTTCAGAGTGAGTCTCCGGTAGATGATTTACTGATTAAAATGAACTGTTTAGAGTGAGTCTCCGGTTAATGATTTACTGAGTCTCAAGTAAATCATTCACTGTTTCAAACGCTCTGTTCAGAGTGAATCTCCAGTAAATGATTCACTTATTCAGACGATTAGGACAGAGTAAAGCTGCGTCCCAAATCGCATACTTATGCACTATTCTACGCCATTTTGTAGTATAAATAGTGTAAGTAGTGCGTTCACACTGAAAACTCTAAAAATAATAAGAGCACTTTAATTACCCGGATGATGCACTCATTCAGCCGCTAAAATGAAGTGTGTAATGATGGACACTTCACGCACTCAACGACCGCAAGTTTGCTTGCGTAGCGGAAGGGGCGGAGCTATCGGACGCACATGTTGAATAACTTTATTTAAATTGGATGGTGAAAGCAAAATTCTTTTACGAGAGTGATTATAGCGCCTCCCGATAGTGATTGCGGCAACACTCACGGCAGGTATTATTTGATAATTCGGCCGTTTACTTCAATGATTTGGCAACCGTCAAACGTCATCAGGGAAACGGTTTGATTTTCCGCTTAGTAAAAAAAACATTAGTGTGCCATTTGGGACGACACTACATACATATACTACCCCGTTGAGTGTGTAAGTGCATAAGTACATAGTGCATGAGTGCATAGTGTATAGTGTGCCATTTGGGACGCAGTGTCAGTCTCCTGGAGATGATTTACTGATTGAATGATCTGCTCAGAGTGAGTCTCCAGTAAATGATTCACTGATTCAAATGAACTGTTCAGAGTGAGTATGACTGAGCAAAATAAACATCCATAATTACTTTAACATGTATTTCTGAAGTAAATTAAACATCAACATTGGAAAAAGAGAACTTTATACTTCTCCTGGAGTAATATTTTATCAGGGTATCTGCACTTTTACTCGAGTTCCTAATTTGTGTACTTCATCCACCACCGCCATTCATCTTCCGGATGTTGTTAGCTTACAGCCAAACGTGTCTCGTGCGAAACGTGCGCGGGGTTTGGGATGCTTTCCAATCACGTCAGAGTCACAGGTATTTTATTATTCATTGCTCTATGAATAATTCACGCTGGCGTCGACGTGCACATTGTCTGTGGTGTAATTACTGGCATGCTGAAACACAGCCACTTTCCATTTGCGCCGACACATGGCTGCCCCCGTCTACTTTTCTGTCGTAGCAGAGCGGGGCGCTAGCCCACTCTAGTCCCAGTCCCCTCGCGCACTATTTTACAGTCAAATGCACAGCGAGTGACTGTTAAATTGCCTGTATGTGGGAGTGTGTTCAATCACTCTGTAATTTAATATAATTGATTTGTTGCTACAGTTGCCTTGTGACGAATTAGGTTAGCTATGCTAATAGCACTGCTATTTCTACAGAAGCTATGAATAGAATGCTAATACCGTTTTGCTTGTCTTTGTTTTCTGTTTAGCTTCACCCAGGTTTACAAAAGTACCTGTAGACATGATCGGCGTCTCCGGAGGTGTTGTATCCTTCGTTTGCCAAGCCACAGGTGACCCCAAACCCAAAGTAACCTGGAACAAGAAAGGGAAAAGGGTGAACTCGCAACGCATCGAGGTGAGACTGCTAACACTTTTATTGATAACTTTACCTTTTTTGGCTTGTTTTACAGCTCCCTTAGAGTCAAACAGTTATTGTTGTACCTGGCTTGAATCTTTTCACCCAATCTCTGGTTCTAGCGGAAGCATTTTTAGCTTAGCTTAGCATAAATGTAGTTGTAATTGGATTTATATAGGGCATTTAATGCGTATATCCATACACCCAAAGCGCTTCGCAATTATGAGAGGGGTCTCTCTACACCATCACTAGTGTGCAGCATCCACTTGGATGATGCGACGGCAGCCACAGGACAACGGCGCCAGCGCGCTCACCACACACCAGCCATTTGTGGAGTGGAGAGACAGTGATAGAGCCTATTCGGTGGATGGGGATGATCGGGAGGCCATGATGTGTAAGGGCCCTGCTGAAAAATCCAACTTAAAGCTGGTTGGCTGGTTTTAGCTGGTCGACCAGACTGGTTTTAGAAGGGTTTTGGCTATTTCCAGGCTGGTTTCCAGCCATTTTCAGCCTGGTCTTAGGACATTAAGCTGGACATAGCTGGTTTTGGCTGGGCTCCCAGCCTGGCTAGGCTGGTCAAGCTGGTTTTACCTGGTTATCTCCCAGCCTGACCAGCGAAGACCAGGCTGGACTTGGCTGAAAACCATTCTGGAAATGGCCAAAACCCCTCTAAAACCAGGCTGGTCGACCAGCTAAAACCAGCCAACTTTGCTTGCTTAAGCTGGATTTTTCAGCAGGGGGTCAATGGAGGGTATTTAGCCAGGACACCAGGGTTACACCCCTAATTTTTACAAGAAGTGCCTCTGGGTTTTTTCAATGACCACAGAGAGTCAGGACCTCAGTTTAACATCTTATCTGAAAGATGGCGCTCACTGACAGTATAGTGTCTCCTTCACCATATTGGGGCATTAGGACTCACAGAGATTACCGGTTGAGCGTCCCCTGTTGACCTTACTAACACCACTTCCAACAGCATATGGTCTTTCATCCAGGTACTGACCATGCTCTGCCCTGCTTAGCTTTTGTTAGTAACTGGTCTTGGGCTGCGCGGTTATATAGCCATAGATAATAAATCGATTGATTTAGATTAGACCATTAGCATCTCATTCAAAAATGACCAAAGAGTTCTGTTAATTTTCCTGCTTAAAGATCAACTCTTGTGTTGTTACATCGTTCACTACGACCAAGGGGAAACTGGAAAGCTGCTTTTTTTTCAAGGCCAATAAGGCCTACTCTCATTCCACTGCAATAATAAAGGATTTTGTTGCCGTAAAAATGGCTAAAACTGCATCCTAGTACTACACAGTGCCTAAAAATAGTCCACAGATCAAGCCCTACCCTTGCACAACCAGTTAGAATCTGCTAAATATCCACTATTTAAATGGGGAAATGATCAAAACTCCTCTTGGATTTTTTTGGAGTCATGCTAATGGTCTAATCTGATTCAAAGATTTATGCTAAGCTAAGCTAAAAGTGCTTCTGCCAGACTTGAAGATTGGCTTCAAAACTCAGCTGTTTAACCCTAGGGGAGTTAAAACCAGCCTATTTACAAAAACCTACAGTGTTCCATTAATTTCTAGTTGCGCTGGCGCTAAACTGTCTTGGTAAATGACATATAACTTCCCTGCTGAAAAGTTACAAACTAATAGCATCCCCAACTTTTGACCCCTAGCCCTATTCCGGTTTTGTTTACATTCGATTAATTCTGATAGAAATTGTCGTGCTCTTTTTTTCAAAGTCTCCAAAACGTCCTGTAACATCTTGATTTTGCTGCAAGCTGGAATTATGAGAGAGAGTTAATTAGGCTCCTGCGGTGCTTTCGCATTTGATGTCACTGTAGCGAAACAGTCGAGCAAATCAATAGGGAATGACAAAGAGGAACGAGGCTCTTTGTAAGCCAGTGGCAAAACTCACTCTGTTTTTTTGGGTGAGTTTTCAAGGCTACGATAATGAGAAGCAGCCCAGTGACGGCACACTGTCCTACGTGTGTGTAGATCAATATCAAAGCGAAGCCTTTGGGGGAAACAAATTAATTCAAACCCCTCATGAAATTTCTTTTAAATGCAACGAAGATGATAATTTAAGCCCGAGTTGAGCGTACTCTTGGGTTCACAACAATGTGTGGATCGGAGCCGCCAACGCATTTGTGTGTTGGTCTTTTTTTTTTTTCAAGAGAAGTTTTTCATCTCTGCTGAATAGTGACAGTGTGGTTAAATGCTGAGCTAGTTGTAATTAAGACACGCTAAACATCGATCAAGACTCTACAGCTGCCAGCTGTGTTATGACAAAAGAACACGGCAAACAAGCAAGGAAAATAAGACACAGGCTACAAGACATAGAAACCCTCAGAAGCTAAGCTACGTATGCTTCGTAAACACTTGGGATCGAACACCAAAAACACTTCCAGATGTCATTTGCTGAGAAATACTACAGCTGGTTCCTCAACTGTAATGGTTGTCCTTAAGGGAACACTCAACTCTTTTGGCAATTTTGCAGCTATCTTAGAGTTAAACTGTTGAATTTCTTTCAGTCCAACTTACAAGTCTGGTGTAGCACTTTTAGCTTAGCTTAGCATAGATCATTGTATCTGATAAGACCATTCCCTGATAAAAAAAATCCAGGTTAAACCAGCCTAGGCTGGTTTAAGCTGGATTTTTCAGCAGGGTTAACATTTTGACCAAAAAAACATTTTTAAAGATTTTTGATAATTTTCCTATTTAAGGCTCGAGTCTTCTGAAATTAGTTCACAGCTAGGTAACTTGGTAAAATTGATGCATATGGTCTGATCTGATTCTATAATTTATGCTAAGCTAAGCTAAACGTGCTCCTGCCAGACCTAGGCTGTTTCTCAAATCCAAGAACGCAGAGAACGGACTTGCGTTCTTGTGGAGAATGGTCTTGCCAGGTGTCCTCGGAAGACTCGGGAGACTGCAGAGAACGCATCCTCTGAGAAATGAGATGCTGCGTTCTTCCTGATGGTCTCATGACCTTCACGCGTTTTAAATGGTAAATTATTTAAACATTACAGCATTCATACAACGATGTATTGTTTTTCCCCTTTTTAAAAATATATACTCTGCATAAAACCTTATAAATATACGTTGCACAATATAAATAAAACAGATTTTAATACAAATTTCAGACTTCTGGGACTTCCAGAGCGAGTTAGGTGCTCAAGTCTGCATCGGTGCATCCTCGATATCAAGAACACATCCGGGAAGTTTCACGCGTCCTGTTCTTGTGGTCTTGCATATTGAAACTGAACTTTGGCAGCTGATGATGACATTACATGAGAAAACAATGACGCAAGACCGCTGAAGAACACATATTGAGAAACAGCCTAGAGATCAGCTGAATAGTTCGAAAAAAAATCAAACAAACCGCTAAACTCTAGGAGAGCTGTAAAATGACCCTTTCCCCCCCAAATTGAGTGTTTCTATAGGTGTCAAGGCACTTGAAATCAGTAACTAGTTGTGGGATTGGATTCATAGCCTTCAACCTCTAGGCATCCATTGATCTTCTGACCCACTCTTGGTCCTCTTACACAGACGATAGAGTTTGATGAAGGTGCAGGAGCCGTCCTGAGGATCCAGCCTCTCCGGGCGCCTCGAGACGAGAACGTCTACGAGTGTCAGGCGGAGAACAGCGAAGGCGAAATCAATGTCCAAGCCAAGCTGTCCATCATCAGAGGTAAGAGTAAAGTCATGCAGGTTTTGTATGAATTATACCTTAGGGAGTCAGGGTTGTGCCCTATCCTGCTACACACCGGCCTGATGGTTTCTACACCCTCATGAATTGGTATTCTTTCTACACTTTTATTACAATGTAAAGTGCCTGATTAGTATCTCGATGGTGCCTATTCTGGGGCGCACATATCTGGTATGCATGTGTGCATGTGGGATTTAAAATAAAAAGAGCATACCAGATGTGGCACTAGCAGTTTTGCTTGCCAGATTTAATTAATTTGGTGATTCAAATGGTGCGGGACATTGTACATAAGTTCATGTGACTGCCATGCTTTGTTTGAGGGGAGAATGTAAAATGATGTTGGTCTCAGTGTATATGAATAGACCTGCAGTCACTCAAGAACTGTACCAAGTCCATCTGAAAAGGCGGTGTTCTGGTGCAGGGTTCATATGCACTCCAGTTCATGTTTAGATTAGATTAATATGCCATTTGTGCATATTTGCTACATATAATTTAAAATTTTACCAAGCAACATCTCTAGCTATTCTTTTGAGAACAGGTCCAAAAAATAAATCTTCTCCCCTTTACATATTACTGCTTTTAAAAATGGGTCCTCGTCACAGAGAAAGCACTTTTTACCAACTGTGCTGGAAGGAACCCCAACATAATTGGTTTTCACTTTACATGCCCTACAGAATCTGTGAGCAAACTCTGGGATAAACTGACCAGCATTCCCTGATCCAATCACACTGTTGCAGAAACTCGAAATCCTCACAACCAAGTCGCTTTAGCATTGAATTATTTGTTTGTTCCCCGTGCGCTGAGGTCTAGCCATCTGCCTTGTCATTGCCGAGCGCTGGAGCAGGCAGCTTGCAGGCTTCTTCCTGGGCCCCAACCCAAGGCGAGGGTTTTTGTAGGCAGCCCAGTTTTACATGAAAATCCTGGCTTTGGCAAGACCCATGCGGCTCAGGAAGGAGCACAGGCGGTAGCACTAGGAGGGAAAAAAAACGGCTGCTCCCCCCTTCGCTCACTCATCCCCATCTGCTGCGGGCTCGCATTTACATCGAACCTTATCAGAAGAGCAAGCCCCACACACACTCCGGCACATGTGTCCGCTCGCTCCCGCAGGAGGACGCCTCTGTTCCTCAATGCCTGCATGGACATCAATCAAAACCAATTAAACTGTCCAGCATCGCAGTTGCAATTTGTGGTCTCAAGCGGGCTCTTCTTTCATTTTGTCCCAACTTCTGACTCTGGTGACTTCGTTAAAGGGGTGATCCAATGCTGTTTCATGCACACAGAGTTATTTACGCTGGTAATGTGTGGAACTTTCATGCTACCCTCGGAAGTAAGACTTTCGAGAAACAAATCATTTCTTTGATTCATTGCATGCAAGGGTCAAGTTTTAAAAAATGATTTGGACGGATGACTTGAGCATTTATTTGCCAAAAATATTACTTCCAAGAGTCCATCGGTCAAGTTTAAAAAAAGAAAATCTTGGACGTACGACTTGAGCATTTATTTGCCAAAAACCTTACTTCCAAGAGTCTATGGGTCAAGTTTCAAAAATGATTTGCATGTATGACTTCAGCATTTATTTGCAGAACGTCTTACCTCTGAGGGTCCATCGGTCAAGTTTCAAAAATTAATTTGGAAGTATGGCTTGAGTATTTATTTACAGACAATCTTACTTCCGAGGGTCCATGGGTCAAATTTCAAAAGATTTTTTGGACTTAAACATTTATTTGCAGAAAGTCTTACCTCTGATGGTCCATCGGTCAAGTTTCAAAAAATGATTTGGAAGTACTGCTTAAGTATTTATTTGTCAAAAATCTTACTTCCGAGGGTCCATGGGTCAAGTTTCAAAAAATTATTTGGAAGTATGACTTGAGCATTTATTTGCAGAAAGTCTTACCTCTGACGGTCCATCGTCAAATTTTAAAATATGATTTGAAAGTATGGCTTGTATTTATTTGTCAAAAATCTTACTTCCGAGGGTTCATGGGTCAAGTTTTAAAAAATGATTCGGAGGTATGACTTGAGTTTATATGTGTCAAAAATCTTACTTTCGAGGTGGAACCAGGTTCAAGGTCATAAGTAAGAGCAGAAATCCTTGTAGGGTTACTTCTCCTGCAAATTGAGTGTGTCCCTTATCCCTCATACATAATCACAGATGATGCTGCACTTTGTCTGGGTGAGAGTCCAAAAAAGTGTAAATTTGGATGAGAGGGAAAGCTGATCTTGTTTAGCCGTATTTACCTTCACTCTTTCCCAAGTAAGTTTGAAGTTATTCAGCTTGACCCCCTTTGTGAAATTCGAACCATCACTTTTTTTTTTCCATTTCAACGTGTCTGGTTTATGACCCACTTAGAGATTATAACAGCTGGATAAACAACACGTGAATTCATCAACTTCTCCTAAACTTCATGAACGTATGTGGCTGTTGACCTGGCAGAAGAATGGAGTAAACATTCAAGTTACCTAAACGCTGCGTATCTGATGTGAATAGCACCCATTGTCAGATCATATGAAATGATTGTTATTCCATAAACATAAGCATGCATTTTGCGAAACGTTTTTGTACGCTCCTGGGACCAATCTAGACTGATCACATTACTGTGATTGTATACGTCGAAGGCTATGATTACAATGTTGTTCCCCTGTTTCATTTAAAGCAATATGACAGGATGTAGTCCTTGTCTGTGAGGCTGTCGCACTTGCACAATATTGTCTCTGTAGCTCCACCCACGGCACGCCTCCAGAAAATCGCTGTCTTCTGGAGATAACCAGGAAGCTGTCTTAAAAGCATTAAAATAATTTTGGTGAAAAGATGGATGTGGTACTGCTCTGTATGCACCTTAAGATTAATATGAGATGGGTAAAAATTGAGCTTGTTACATTCCCTTTAAGCACTCAGTCACCTTGCCATCTTCAGGGTGTGTCCGCCCGCCTGCAGCAGAGAAAACACAAGAAGGCTTTGCTGTAAATCTGCCGGTGCTCTTTCCAGGGGCTTAGGTTTGTTTTTAGCTGCCTTCTGGCTGCCCACAAGAGCGGTGAGCGGAATGCTTAAGATGTACCATCTGCTTTTCCACCTTGTCGCAGAGTCCTCTGAGAGTCCTTGGAGGAATCTCTGAGAAAAAAAAAAGCCAAGGCAAGGACACCTACAGCCGTCACTGCTTCTGCTGTGTGTCACTATGGGTGTCGAAGCCTTTCTACTTTCTGCTCTTGTAGCCTCGCTGTGTTTTCCTCTTCATTCTGACCCTGGCTTTGAGCCTCTTCTTGGCAGTCTTGTCCACCACCAACCCAAAGCTAGCACTTCATAGAGTCCAACACTAACAGCAGCCCAGATTTCACCATCTGCTCGCTTCCTGAGAGGTGTCAGACGCTCTCACTTTTTTTTTTACACATTCAGGTGTGTCTGGCCTTAGCTTGCCCCTGGTCCTGCTGTGAGAACGCTGGGTTCAGGGTGCTGGCCAACAAAAGATCAGAGCGGTGACGCTGGAACACACAGCCACAGGTTTGGCAATCACGCAACCCAAATCTAAAGGTGTCAGACCACCTTCCTGGAACATTAGCTCTTTTCCAAAATCGCATATGCTAACTCCAGATGTGAAGGCTTTAGCAGAAGTTGGGCTGGTTTTGAAGGGATAGTTCAACCAAAACTGATTTTTTGTCAGCTTACTCTTTACTCATTCCAATCCTGTTTAAGTTTCTTTCTTAAGATATTTTGAAGCTGGAAGACATTGTCTTCAGTAGTATTTGTTTCCCTACTATGAAAGTGGATGTTAAAAGGTTTCTAGCTTGCTTCAAAATATATTATTAAACCAAATAAAGAAACTCATAGGCTTGAAACCACTTAAGGAACAGTATTTCTTTTTCTCCCTGCACTTGTCTTTACTGTATATTGTTTAGTGCTGTGCTTTTAGCTTATCAACATGCTAATTGGAAAAAAAACTCATGTGCAATGTTGCAATTTGGTAAAATGTATAAACTGTAGTTAGTTTTACCGTTTGAGCACCCCAGTTGCTTGCACTGTGCATTTTTTTTCACTTTTTAGCTTAGCAACAATGCTAATGAAAAGCACAAGACTTGTGAATTGATCAAATCTGTCGCTAGGTTTAGGGTTACAAGTGCACAATTTTATGCTTAATAGCAATATCTTGATGGAATACTTATGAACACTGTTGATAAAATGTAGTAGGGTTTAGGTTCACAAGCGTATTATTTCCCCATGTCTATTTTTAGTGCTGTGCTGTTTTCTTAGCAACATGCTAATGGAAAAAAATGCATGCCCTATGTTGCAAACTGATAAAAGCTACTATCTGTAGTTCAGCTTCAGAGTTTTAGTGCTCCATTTTATGTAGTAGTTGCTTGTAGAGTGTGTTTTTGCACTTTTCAGCTTAGCATTGCTAATTGAAAGCAGTTGATCTGTTGTAAATTTATCAAATTGATTATCTGTAGCTAGGTTTAGGTTTACAAGTGGATTAATTTATGCTCAAGAGCAGTAATTTGATGGAATAATTATGAACATTGTGATAAAATATAGTAGGGTTTAGGGTTGCGTGTGTATTATTTCCCATGTCTATTTTTATTCCTGTGCTGTTGGCTTAACAACATGCTAATGGAAAAAAAATCATGTCCTATGTCGCAAACTAATAAAATGTACCAAGTGTACTTAGCTTTAGGGTTTAAGTGCTCCATTTTATGTAGTAGTTGCTTGTAGAGTGTGTTTTTTGCACTTTAAAGGTTAGCAATGCTAATCGAAAACAAATAATCTGTTGTGAATTGATCAAATTGATTATCTGTAGCTAGGTTTAGGGTTACAGGTGCACTATTTTATGCTTAATAGCAATATGTCGAAAATTATGAACACTGTTTCAGGGTTTAGGGTTACGTGTGTAGTATTTCCCTATGTCTATTTTTAGTGCTGTGCTGTTAGCTTAGCAACATGCTAATGGAAACATCATGTCTTATGTCATGAATTGATAAAATAGATAACTCTG